CCCACTCTTCTGGGCTTGCTTTTGTTTGCAATGGCTTAGACTGCCTTTTGTTGCTACTCCAGAGCTTGGAGTATGCTGGGTGACAGTGTCACTTTCCATGTGCCATATGGACTGTGTGATCACCACTCTGCACGACATGGACTTTGCACTGTATGGCATGGGCTTTGCTCTGCTGGGCTTGCTTTTGTTGCAATAACTGGCTGCCCTGAGAGCTGCACATCCAGAAACTTGGAGCGTGCTGTTTTGACTGAACTGACTGAGCTGTGCTCTGCACGGCATGGACTCCACTCTGCTGGGCTCGTGGTGCCTGTAATGGCTGACCGCATGGAGTTAGACCAGAGCCTGGAGTGCGCAGCGGCTGACAACATTGCCTTGCTGTTTAGGCTGAACTGGATGGGCCCTGCTCTGCACGGCATGGGCTCCGCTCTGCTGGGGAATTTCTGTGACTGTGATGCTGACTGCCTTGCGTTGCTCCTCCAGAGCTTGGAGTGCTCTGGGTGACACCCTTACATGGAGCTTTTTTTGACTGAACTGAAAGGGCTCCGCTCTGCACGGCATGGGCTCCGCTCTGCACGGCATGGGCTCCGCTCTGCACGGCATGGGCTTTGCTCTGCTGGGCCTGCGGTGCCTGTGATGGCGGACTGCCTGGAGTTGGACCTCCAAGGCTTGGACTAGGCTGGGTAACAACACCACATTGCTGGACAGACTGAGCTTTGCTCTGCTTGGCTTGCTGTGCCTGTAATGGCGGACTGCCTTGGATTGCTCCTCCAGAACTTGGAGTTTGCATGGTGACAGCCTTACATTGCTGTTTGGACTGACCTGGCTGGGCTTTGCTCTACTGGGCATGCTGTGGCTGCAATGGCGGACTGCCATGTGCTGCACTTCCAGAACTCACACTTTGCTGAGAGACATTCTCACACTGCTGGACTGACTTCATCTCTCTGTATTACCAGAACTTCTCACACTGGACTTTCCATCACCAACATTCCCACATCTACTCACAGTCTCTGCCATTTGCTTTCCATTCACTGAACTCCGTCCTCCCGCTTCACCACCAACCACAACTTCACCTCCATGAGCAGGCCGAAAAGCCTGGGACTCTCCTGGGAGGCGTCCCAGCCCAGGGCAGCCCCAACCCTGGGCTTGTATCAGACATCAGAGAGGTCAGCACCACACAGCCTGCAGCTGCTCCACAGGAAACCACACCCTCTGCACAGTCCCACTTCTCCTGTCCTGGATGCCGGGTGTCATTCTCGGTATCTGTCCCTATTCTGTATGTATGGACTCTGCACAGTCCCACTTCTCCTGTCCCGGATGCCGGGTGTCATTCTCGGTATCTGTCCTTATTCTATACAGTATGTGGTTGGGTAGAGATGCGATGTGCTGTGATTGGAGGATGACGGGTGGGGGAGGGGTAGCAATCTCTAGGATGTTTGTTGTGTTTTTCAGTTTGTTACATTTGTTTATTTTCTTCTTGTGACATTTATTATTATTATTATTATTATTAGATGATTGTTGTTGTTTCTTCCTTTGTTCAGAGATTACATTCTGCATATGGGATGGTTGTAGCTTTGTGGGGGATGGGAAATGTTATACCCCCCCCCCAGTCTGTATTATCATTCCACATGAAAAGACCTTCTGCATCCCAAACCCATTCATAGCGGGCCAATCACAGGCTCCGCCCCATACCATGCCATTACCCCGCCTTCCTCTGCTGGTCACCCTCCCGCCCACCTCGTCCTCCTCTCCCACCCTCCTGCCCCCATCCCCCTCCTGTCCCCTCTCTCACCCACCTGCCCCCATCCCCCTCCTGTCCCCTCTCTCACCCTCCTGCCCCCATCCCCCTCCTGTCCCCTCTCTCACCCTCCTGCCCCATCCCCCTCCTGCCCCCTCTCTCACCCTCCTGCCCCCATCCCCCTCCTGTTCCCTCTCTCACCCTCCTGCCCCCCATCCCCCTCCTGTCCCCCTCTCACCCTCCTGCCCCCATCCCCTTCCTGTCCCCTCTCTCACCCTCTTGCCCCCATCCTCCTCCTGTCCCCTCTCTCACCCTCCTGCCCCCTCATTCATCTCTCACCCTCCTGCCCACATCTCACAGCTCTGTCACCCCTCTGCCCCCCTTTCAACCTCCTGCCCCCATTCCCTCTCTCACCCTCCTGCCCCCATCCCTCCCCCTCTCTCACCCTCCTGCCCCATCCCCTCTCTCATGCTCCTGCCCCCCCCCTCCCTCACCCTCCTGCATAATCTCTCCCCGTCCCTTCTCTCACCCACCTGCCCCCATCCCCCCAGTCCCATCTCACCCTCCTGCCCCCATCCCCTCTCACCCTCCTGTCCCCTCTTTCACCCTCCTGCCCCCATCCCCCTCCTGTCCCCCTCTCTCACCCACCTGCCCCCATCCCCCTCCTGTCCCCTCTCTCACCCTCCTGCCCCCATCCCCTTCCTGTCCCCTCTCTCACCCTCTTGCCCCCATCCTCCTCCTGTCCCCTCTCTCACCCTCCTGCCCCCTCATTCATCTCTCACCCTCCTGCCCACATCTCACAGCTCTGTCACCCCTCTGCCCCCCTTTCAACCTCCTGCCCCCATTCCCTCTCTCACCCTCCTGCCCCCATCCCTCCCCCTCTCTCACCCTCCTGCCCCATCCCCTCTCTCATGCTCCTGCCCCCCTCCCTCACCCTCCTGCCCAATCTCTCCCCGTCCCTTCTCTCACCCTCCTGCCCCCATCCCCCCAGTCCCATCTCACCCTCCTGCCCCCATCCCCTCTCACCCTCCTGTCCCCTCTTTCACCCTCCTGCCCCCATCCTCCTCCTGCCCCCTCTCTCACCCTCCTACCCCCATCCCCCTCCTTGCTCTGTCACCCTCCTGCCCCCATCCCCCTCCTGTCCCACTCCTTGCTCTGTCACCCTCCTGCCCCCATCCCCCTCCTGTCCCCTCTCTCACCCTCCTGCCCCCATGCCCCCCCTCTCTCACCCTCCTGTCCCTTCTCTCACCGTCCTGCCCCCACCCCCCTCTCTCACATTCCTGCCCCCATCCCCCCTCCTGCCCCCAGTCTCAGGAATCCCTCTGGGACATAGAGGGGTCTCTGTATTCTTTGTGAGATGAGAATTCCTTGTCTGAGGACAGACTGATTCCCCCTCCCCAGAGTGCTGACTCTCAGGGGGTCCCACAGCAGACTCTCGGGGGGTCCCACAGCCCACTCTCGGGGGCTCCCACAGCAGACTCTCAGGGGGTCCCCAGCCCACCACTCTCGGGGGCTCCCACAGCCCACACTCTCGGGGGCTCCCACAGCAGACTCTCGGGGGGTCCCACAGCCCACTCTCGGGGGCTCCCACAGCAGACTCTCAGGGGGTCCCACAGCCCACTCTCGGGGGGGCTCCCACAGCCCACTCTCGGGGGCTCCCACAGCAGACTCTCGGGGGCTCCCACAGCCCACTCTCGGGGGCTCCCACAGCAGACTCTCGGGGGCTCCCACAGCCCACTCTCGGGGGCTCCCACAGCTCCCACAGCCCTCTCGGGGGGTCCCACCACTCTCGGGGGCTCCCACAGCCCACTCTCGGGGGCTCCCACAGCCCACTCTCGGGGGCTCCCACAGCCCACTCTCGGGGGCTCCCACAGCAGACTCTCGGGGGGTCCCACAGCCCACTCTCGGGGGCTCCCACAGCCCACTCTCGGGGGCTCCCACAGCCCACTCTCGGGGGGTCCCACAGCCCACTCTCGGGGGCTCCCACAGCAGACTCTCGGGGGGTCCCACAGCCCACTCTCGGGGGCTCCCACAGCCCACTCTCGGGGGCTCCCACAGCCCACTCTCGGGGGCTCCCACAGCAGACTCTCGGGGGCTCCCACAGCCCACTCTCGGGGGCTCTCCCACAGCCCACTCTCGGGGGCTCCCACAGCCCACTCTCGGGGGCTCCCACAGCAGACTCTCGGGGGGTCCCACAGCCCACTCTCGGGGGGTCCCACAGCAGACTCTCGGGGGGTCCCACAGCCCACTCTCTCGGGGGGTCCCACAGCCCACTCTCGGGGGGTCCCACAGCCACTCTCGGGGGCTCCCACAGCCCACTCTCGGGGGCTCCCACAACAGACCCTCGGGGGCTCCCACAGCAACAGACCTCGGGGGCTCCGCTCTTCTTCCCTGATTGTTATGTAACAATGAATCCACATGTTCGCCAAATGTGACAAGCCCCTCCCCCTCCCGTCTGGCCCCGCCCCCTTCTCCTGACACCTCTCCTCTCTCTTGCATCAGACTTTACAATGAATGAAGTTTGGCTGCAGTTGTGTCTATGCAGCATGTCAGCCCATCTGCAGAGCATCGCGACACCTTCTTCCCAAATCACTGCTAATCATCAGTCACAGATCTCTGCAGACCATCGCTCCACTATTCTCTAACAAATCTGCAGAAGGTCAATCCCAATATTAGTCATTGCAAAAAAAAATCCCTGCAGAACATCACCCCCCCATTATTACCATTTCTGCAGAACATCACCCCCCCCCCATTATTACCATTTGTGCAGAACATCACCCCCCCCCCTATTATTACCATTTCTGCAGAACATCCCCCCTATTATTACCATTTCTGCAGAACATCCCCCCTCATTATTTTTACCATTTCTGCAGAACATCATTACCCCACCACCCCATTATCAGCCATTTCTGCAACAATCTGCAGAACATCCCCCCAGACCATTATTACCATTTCTGCAGAACATCCCCCCTATTATTACCATTTCTGCAGAACATCAATGCCCCCCTGGGACCCCATTATCAGCCATTTCTGCAGAACATCACCCCTATTATTACCATTTCTGCAGAACATTACTATATGACTTCCCTTTGCAGAGCATGCCCCATTTTGACTTTGTATCCTGCAGACTATTGCTCTATTACATTGGCACACTCCGCAGACTATCACTGCAGGATATTCCAGCAACAGGTCTGCAGATCATCGCTGCACTATACAGACCATTGCAGCCTCCAGCCTTCTGCAGACTATCACCCCCATGTGTTACCTGGATCTTGGCGATGAGCTCCTGGGGGGTCAGTCCTGTGCTTTCGGTGACCTCAATGCCCCCCTGGGATCTCAGGATGTGGGCACAGGCGGGGGCCAGGCTATCACTGATCAGGACCCTTCTGATGTCACTCAAGGCCATGGCTGGAGCTCCTCCACTCTCTGCTGACAATCTAATATTCCAGAAAGCTCATAGCCTCAGATTCCGGCAGATTTTCCAAATCACTGAATTCTGGATCTCCTCCTCCCTCCATGTGACCCTCATCCCTCCTCCTCCTCCTCCTCCTCCCTCTCCTCTTCCCTCCTTCTCCTGGAAGACTCAGCAGATGCACCAGTCTACAATGTAAACATCTGCAGGAGGGAGGAAACAAAGGTGTGTCCAGGTGTATGATCCCCCCATAGATCAATGTCCAGGTGTATGATCCCCCATAGATCAATGTCCGGGTGTATGATCCCCCATAGATCAATGTCCAGGTGTATGATCCCCCCATAGATCAATGTCCGGGTGTGATCCCCCATAGATGTCCAGGTGTATCCCCCCCATAGATCAATGTCCATGATCCCCCCATAGATCAATGTCCAGGTGTGTGATCCCCCCATAGATCAATGTCCATCCCCCCATAGATCGATGTCCAGGTGTATGATCCCCCCATAGATCAATGTCCAGGTGTGTGATCCCCCCATAGATCAATGTCCGGGTGTATGATCCCCCCATAGATCAATGTCCAGGTGTATGATCCCCCATAGATCAATGTCCAGGTGTATGATCCCCCATAGATCATGTCCAGGTGATCGATCCCCCCATAGATCAATGTCCAGGTGTGTGATCCCCCCATAGATCAATGTCCAGGGTGTATGATCCCCCATAGATCAATGTCCAGGTGTGTGATCCCCCATAGATCAATGTCCAGGTGTATGATCCCCCATAGATCAATGTCCGGGGGTATGATCCCCCCATAGATCAATGTCCAGGTGTGCGATCCCCCCATAGATCAATGTCCAGGTGTATGATCCCCCCATAGATCGATGATCCCCCAGATCAATGTCCAGGTGTGATCCCCCATAGATCAATGTCCGGGTGTATGATCCCCCATAGATCAATGTCCCGGGTGGTGTGATGATCCCCCATAGATCGATGTCCAGGTGTGTGATCCCCCATAGATCAATGTCCAGGTGTGTGATCCCCCCATAGATCAATGTCCAGGTGTGTGATCCCCCATAGATCAATGTCCGGGTGTGTGATCCCCCATAGATCAATGTCCAGGTGTGTGATCCCCCCATAGATCAATGTCCGGGTGTGTGATCCCCCATAGATCAATGTCCAGGTGTGTGATCCCCCCATAGATCAATGTCCAGGTGTGTGATCCCCCCATAGATCGATGTCCAGGTGTGTGATCCCCCCCCCCATAGATCAATGTCCAGGTGTGTGATCCCCCCATAGATCAATGTCCAGGTGTGCGATCCCCCCATAGATCAATGTCCAGGTGTGTCCCCCCGATCAATGGTGTGTGATCCCCCATAGATCGATGTCCAGGTGTGTGATCCCCCCCATGGATCGATGTCCAGTGTGTGTGATCCCCCCATGGATCGATGTCCAGGTGTGTGATCCCCCCATAGATCGATGTCCAGGTGTGTGATCCCCCCCCATAGATCGATGTCCAGGTGTGTGATCCCCCCATATCGATCAGGTGATGATCCCCCCAGATCGATGTCCAGTGTGTGCGATCCCCCCATAGATCGATGTCCAGGTGTGCGATCCCCCCATAGATCGATGTCCAGGTGTGCGATCCCCCCCATAGATCGATGTCCAGGTGTGATCCCCCCATAGATCCAGGTGTGCGATCCCCCCATAGATCGATGTCCAGGTGTGCGATCCCCCCATAGATCGATGTCCAGGTGTGTCCAGGTGTGATCCCCCCATAGATCGATGTCCAGGTGTGCGATCCCCCCATAGATCGATGTCCAGGTGTGCGATCCCCCCATAGATCGATGTCCAGGTGTGCGATCCCCCCATAGATCGATGTCCAGGTGTGCGATCCCCCCATAGATCGATGTCCAGGTGTGCGATCCCCCCATAGATCCAGGTGTGCGATCCCCCCATAGATCGATGTCCAGGTGTGTGATCCCCCCATAGATCGATGTCCAGGTGTGCGATCCCCCCATAGATCGATGTCCAGGTGTGCGATCCCCCCATAGATCAATGTCCAGGTGTGCGATCCCCCCATAGATCAATGTCCAGGTGTGTGATCCCCCCATAGATCAATGTCCAGGTGTGTGATCCCCCCCATAGATCAATGTCCAGGCGATGATCCCCCATCATGTCCAGGTGTGATCAATGTCCAGGTGTGTGATCCCCCCATGGATCAATGTCCAGGGTGTGTGATCCCCCCATAGATCAATGTCCAGGTGTGTGATCCCCCCATAGATCGATGTCCAGGTGTGTGATCCCCCCATGGATCGATGTCCAGGTGTGTGATCCCCCCATGGATCAATGTCCAGGTGTGTGATCCCCCCATGGATCAGGTGTGTGATCCCCCCATGGATCAATGTCCAGGGTGTGTGATCCCCCCATGGATCAATGTCCAGGTGTGTGATCCCCCCCCCATATCCCCCCATGGATCAATGTCCAGGTGTGTGATCCCCCCATGGATCAATGTCCAGGTGTGTGATCCCCCCATAGATCAATGTCCAGGTGTGTGATCCCCCCATAGATCAATGTCCAGGTGTGTGATCCCCCCATAGATCAATGTCCAGGTGTGTGATCCCCCCATGGATCAATGTCCAGGTGTGTGATCCCCCCATGGATCAATGTCCAGGTTTGTGTGATCCCCCCATAGATCGATGTCCATGTCCAGGTGTGTGATCCCCCCATAGATCGATGTCCAGGTGTGTGATCCCCCATGGATCGATGTCCAGGTGTGTGATCCCCCATGGATCGATGTCCAGGTGTGTGTGATCCCCCCATAGATCGATGTCCAGGTGTGTGATCCCCCCATGGATCGATGTCCAGGTGTGTGATCCCCCCATGGATCGATGTCCAGGTGTGTGATCCCCCCCATGGATCGATGTCCAGGTGTGTGATCCCCCCCAATGTCGATGTCCAGATCCCCCCATAGATCGATGTCCAGTGTGTGTGTCCAGGTTGTGATCCCCCCCATAGATCGATGTCCAGGTGTGATCCCCCCATAGATCGATGTCCAGGTGTGTGTGATCCCCCCATGGATCGATGTCCAGGTGTGTGATCCCCCCATAGATCGATGTCCAGGTGTGTGATCCCCCCATAGAGATCAATGTCCATGTCCAGCTGTGTGATCCCCCCATAGATCAATGTCCAGGTGTGTGATCCCCCCATAGATCAATGTCCAGGTGTGCGATCCCCCCATAGATCAATGTCCAGGTGTGCGATCCCCCCATAGATCGATGTCAAGCTGTGCGATCCCCCCATAGATCAATGTACAGGTGTGTGATCCCCCCATAGATCGATGTACAGGTGTGTGATCCCCCCATAGATCGATGTACAGGTGTGTGATCCCCCATAGATCGATGTCCAGGTGTGTGATCTCCTGATGTATGTTTGGAGCCCCCGGAAGATGAGACATTCGGTGTTGTGGGACGGGGGTGGGGGTGAAGGTATCCATACATTGTACTGTATGGTGGAGACTAGATATGGAGGAATGAGGAGAGGTCGGTAGAACGGCTGGAATAGTTATCAGAGTCTGCAATACTACCGACCACCAATGGAGGGCGACCCACCCAAAATCTAATTGGCTGGACACACACAGGCAGACACAAATCTTGCATACAATCCGGCACACACCAAACACACCACTTAGGGTAGCTTGTCACCACCGGCAGTTTGCTGATGGGTCTGTCAGCCAACCACACAGGGACGTTGGTGGGGGCAGAAGGGGCATGTTCCCCAGGCATAGCCTCGGTATGTAGAGACAGGGGGGCACTGGGAGCTCAGCAGCTCTCTCCTCCCCTTCTCGCTGACAGGAGTGGCTGCAGTGTCACTCCTGTCAGCAGGGCTTTCTTTCATCTGGAGCTCAGCGACACCTCCACCTCCAGCAGTACCCCTGTGCTCCCCGTTGTCACTCTCTGTAAACACAGAAACGAGCGCAGGAAGCCAGCCTCTGAGTGACAGCATGCAGCACCATACTCAGCGCTCCTCTCCCCACAACGTGCCGTCCCACAGACCAGTCCCTTGGCAGCCACTTCTCCAAAACCGGGCACATGGCTGGAGGAGAGGTGGGGGAAGAGCTCTGTACTGGGTGGAAGAGGCAACTCAGTACTGGGGGAGGGTCAGTAGGGGAAAAGCTTTGTAGTGGGGGCAGTGGGCTATGGGGGAGAGATATTTGTACTAAGGGGTGGGGCTTTGATATGGTGTTTCTTCCACCACTGACTCAGGGACATTTTTCCTTCCAGTGACACCATTGACTCATGGACATTTTTCCTTCCAGTGACACCACTGACTCAGGGACATTTTTCCTTCCAGTGACACCACTGACTCAGGGACATTTTTCCTTCCAGTGACACCACTGACTCAGGGACATTTTTCCTTCCAGTGACACCGCTGACTCAGGGACATTTTTCCCTCCAATGACTCCACTGACTCAGGGACATGATTTCCTTCCTTGACACCATTGACTCATGGACATTTTTCCTTCCAGTGACCACCATTGACTCAGGGACATGTTTTCCTTCCAGTGACACCGCTGACTCAGGGACATTTTTCCTTCCAGTGACACCGCTGACTCAGGGACATTTTTCCCTCCAATGACTCCACTGACTCAGGGACATGATTTCCTTCCAGTGACACCACTGACTCAGGGGCATGTTTACCTCCAGTGACACAATTGACTCAGAGACGTTTTCCCTCCAATGACACCACTGACTCAAGAACATGATTTCCTTCCAGTGACACCACCGACTCAGGGACATTTATGCCTCCAGTGACACCATTGACTCCACCATGTGGGGTGGTGTGTGGCAGTCTAGGGAGGTGTGGGGCAGTGCGGGACGTTGTGGGGCAGTGCGGGGTGGTTTGGGCCGGTGTAGGGCGGTGTGAGTGGTGCAGGGCAGTATGGGGGATGTGGGGTGGTGTGGGCCGTTGTGGGTCAGTTTAGCTTAGGGTGGTGTGGGGTTGTTTGGGCCAACGTGGGGCAGTTAGGGCGGTGAGGGCAGTGTGGGGTGGTGAGGGCAGTGTGGGATGGTTGAGGTGGTTGGGGGCTGTGGGGTGGTGTGGGGCTGTGGGGTGGTGGGATGAGGTGGTGGGGGCTGTGGGGTGGTGGTGGTGTGGTGCATTTTAGGGCGGTGTGAGGTTCCTTTATTTTTAGAGGTATGGATGTGGCCGTGACTCCACCCCTTTGGCCAATCAGCTGACCTGCAGAGAGGAGGGGATCTGGCCATAGACTACAGATCAGACGGTTGGCTGGCTCGGAGGTTAGGATTCTTGACATCACCACATCATCCCGATCGCAGCAAGTTCACGTACCACGCGGTTGCCATGGGCAAGTCTCATACAACCAGGACATACTGTTGTAGCGCCCTCTAGGTAGATAGGATTTTTATGGTTAGTCAGAGGCTGGGTAGCAGCCTGGGATGAGTCAGCCTGGGAGTGAGGCAGTGTGGTCACCTCAGGTAGGCTGGGAGGCTCTACAGCTCAGGGCTTCTGGAGCCCTCTCACCCTTCTGGAAACTGCTGGAAGTTTCTAGAAGAGGGGTGGAGGAGGGGAGGAAGCCTGCATTTGCATGTTTATGGGGAACCTGACCAATCACCAGGCAAGAGGCAGCATGGTGACTAGGACAACCCTTAAATGTGAGAGAGTCTGAGCAGCAGAGGGTGAGTCGGGTGGAAGATGGAGTAAGTAAGGTGCTGGAGCATGGGGCCTGGGGGAGGGGGCCCCAGGGAGGAGGGGCTTACACACAGGCTGAAGCAGACAGAGGGATCTCTACAGTCTCCAAGGGAGGACATCCTGTCAGCAGGTAAGGAGCCAGCCCAGTGTAAGGCCTGAAAGCAGCTGCAACCCACCAAGCTAACAGGACAAGACAGTGTGAGTACTTCTACTCCCCCTAACCACAGAATGGTGAGGGCGGCCATGTGCAAGACCCAACTGGGTCTCATCTGGGACTGCTTCTCAGTAACATCTGGAAACCCTTGCCCAGGGACACCCTCAGGACGGCCGGGTGGATGAGGAAAGTTTCATCTAGGGGTCTGAGGAGGTCCACCAAAGTTCCTAAGGAGTTATTGTCAAGTTCTACAGTTCCTTGGGCATCCCATTTACCCCTAGACTCCATCCAAAGTGTTAAGCCTTTAATAAAAACAACAAAAACAAGCTCAAGGACTGTTTTTCTGCCTCAGAGAGAAAATGTGGAAAATGCGTGTTGCCTGGCTGTGCAGAGTTTAAATCCAGCGGCCCTCAAGGGGATAGAGCTATACCATTTTGTATCTGTGTGTAGCTCACCCTGCGGACTATCAGAAGGGATGAGGTTTATCTTCCTTGCGACTAAATGAAACCTTTTTCCTCTGATATGAGTATCAGTGATTGTAGACCACAGACCTCCTCCCCCCTGCTGGGTTCTACAGGCGGCAGGTCCACAGAGGTCCACCCTTATCTGCACACGAGCCTGAAGGACCCGTCAAGGGGGTTGAAAGCTGCTGGGGTTCTGCTTAGATCTCGGGCCACCTAGTTTGATATCTAATGTTGCAGTTGCTGTGGGTTACTCAGCACCAGGGGCGGACTGACAACTCATGGGGCCCCCGGGCAATAGGGGATCATGGGGCCCCTGTGTCCTTGCCCAAACTCAAAAAATCCTATCAAAAAGGTACCAGGGGCATCTCATGGGGCCCCCCACTTACCCCGGGCCCTTGGGCAGTGCCCGAATTTCCAAATGGTCAGTCCGCCCCTGCTCTGCACTTTGCTCCCCTCCTCCCATCTGAGCTCATACTTCTCATAGTAGCCGGACTATCCCGAGGGGGAGGAGAGGGACTGGACACACCTCACCCTTACATTGTCACGGTCAGGGGTCAGGCTCGGAGACCAGCAGCTATAGCGATAGAGAGACTCCTAGCGACCAGTAGGATAGGTATACCCTGGCGGATGACGCGGGCTCGCTTAAGGTGCAGGGTCTAAGCACTATCCTGTATTCACCAGAGCTGCAGATGGTGGGGATGGGTTTTGTTTCATGTTAGTACCAGGTCGCAGTCCTCAGGAGGTGAGCAAGGTCCAGTAGCAGATATTACAGGTTGAGATCAAGCAGGAGCGTAGTCATGAAACAGGCCAAAAGTTGGTAACGAGTGGTAGTGAAGATCAAGGCAGCTGCAGGTACCCATTGGGTAGGGTGGCCACCTCATCCCTATAAACCCGAATACACATTAATCCCACGGGTTCTGAGGCTGATTTAACGCAGGTAAGGCACTAGCTGACTTTAATTACCACCTTAATCAGCCACCAAACCTGTGTAATTAATATGTGTTCGATTTTAAAGGGATGAGGTGGCGACCCTACCAATAGGGCAAGATATTGGCTGTAGAGAGCACAATAATCGGTAAAACAGGAAGTGCATGGCTTCTATAGGACGTTCATGGGAGGAGCAAAGGGTCCAAGGTTCACCAGAAACAAAGCAAAAGGCAAGATTATCTAATGGATCAGACAAGTAGCTGTTCAGCATCTCAGGTGGCTCGACAAGAGGAGAAACTAGCAGAGGTTGCAGGTTCAGATCCCGGTCCTGACATACGTCCTGCACACTTTCTGCCCTTTCTAAATAATCTGTAGTGGAAGCATAAGAAGTGATGGTTCCATTGTACATCCACAACTGACATATCTTGGTGGGTGACCACAGTCGCCATGAATATTACAAGTGACCCCACTACTTTTGTTGGATTTGAGGTTCAGGTCAGGCCATTTAGTGGCCAAAATGTTTTCTGAAATACCTCCATGAGGAAAGATACCGTATTTTGGCCATTGGATGGAGCTAATGAGACCGGAGTAAATCTATTCCAAAACCTACCGTGTCATTTTGTTCTGATTGGATGAATGTTTCTGATATTCGATCAACAAATGCTGTATAACTAGACACCCTTAGCATGTTCTGTCTGTATTGCGCTCCAATAATAACCACACACGATATTTAGTCAGAATGTTTAATTAAATAATTGTTTATTGCTATAAAATCTCCCATCAGAGTACAGAGTGACCCCTCTAGTATATAGTCGGGGTGATCATGTATGTATGCTACCTGCGGGGAAATGAAGATGCTCGCCTTGGGCTCCAGAGAGAGGATAGACCATAACGTGGACTCTTGCCCAATCTATGAGTTCGGCTGCCATCTTTGCTCAGGGTCCACATTCACATGATGCTGAGCTCAGATGTTGACCATGGGGTCATGTTACCCACATTGTCGTATAAAGTAAAATATATTCCGTGCTTTGATGTAAAACCTTTGCAGAGGTTGGGCGTTGGCCTTCAGCTCTCCATCATCTCCTTAGTATCACTTTAGCAGCCAATGTAAGAGGAGAGCACAGAGGAAGAAGAGGAGGGTGTGACATGGCGATGGGCAGATGGAACCACTGGGTTTAAATGGTGGAGTGATCACAGCAGGAGTCAACTGGAACCCTGGGACGTATTGTTTGATCCAAGCGGAGTACGCTGCCACTCTGGTGTAGACACCTGGGCGGTTGGCAAGGGCACAGCCGAATCCCCAGCTGACAATGCCGGCGAGAAGCCATGAGCCGTCCCATCTGCAAGCAAGGGGGGCCGCCAGAATCACCCTGTGGAGGTCAGAGAAGCACAATGTTATTGACTACAGAGCAGCAGATGGAATCAAGGCTTCTCAGGGGCCCCAAAAAGCTTAAAGGAGACCACTACTTTTAAAGATATGGATGCTGCCATCCACCTACTTCCTGCTTCTGAAGGCTCCTTTTGGAGGGGATAACAGGTGATCCACCCAACTTGCTATACCATGGAGGATTTACAGGTGAAACTCGAAAAATGAGAATATGGTGCAAAAGTTCATTTATTTCAGTGCAGCAACTTAAAAGGTGACACTAATATATGAGATAGACTCATTACATGCAAAGCAAGATAGTTCCAGCCGTGATTTGTCATCATTGTGATGATTATGGCTTACAGCTCATGAAAACCCCAAATCCACAATCTCAGAAAATGAGAATATTGTGAAAAGGTGGAATAATCTCGGCTCAAAGTGTCCCACTCTAATCAGCTCATTCAGCCATAACACCTGCAAAGGGTTCCTGAGCCTTTAAATGGTCTCTCAGTCTGGTTCAGTAAGAATCACAATCATGGGAAAGACTGCTGACCTGACACCATCACTGACACCCTCCATAAGGAGGGAAAGCCTCAAAGGTCATTGCAGAAGAAGTTGGATGTTCCCAAAGTGCTGTATCAAAGCACATTAATAGAAAGTTATGTGGAAGGGAAAAGTGTGGAAGAAAAAGGTGCACAAGCAGCAGGGATGACCACAGCCTGGAGAGGATTGTCAGGAAAAGGCCATTCAAAAGTGTTGGGGACTTTCACAAGGAGTGGACTGAGGCTGGAGTCAGTGCATCAAGAGCCACCACACACAGATGGATCCTGGACATGGGCTTCAAATGTCGTATTCCTTCTTGTCAAGCTGCTCCTGAACAACAAACAATGTCAGAAGCGTCTTACCTGGGCTAAAGAGAAACAGACCTGGTCTGCTGCTCAGTGGTCCAAAGTCCTCTTTTCTGATAAGAGCAACTTTTGCATCTCATTTGGAAACCAAGGACCCCGAGTATGGAGGAAGAATGGAGAGGCCCAAGGACCCCGAGTATGGAGGAAGAATGGAGAGGCCCAAGGACCCCGAGTATGGAGGAAGAATGGAGAGGCCCAAGGACCCCGAGTATGGAGGAAGAATGGAGAGGCCCAAGGACCCAGAGTATGGAGGAAGAATGGAGAGGCCCAAGGACCCAGAGTATGGAGGAAGAATGGGAGAGGCCCAAGGACCCCGAGTATGGAGGAAGAATGGAGAGGCCCAAGGACCCCGAGTATGGAGGAAGAATGGAGAGGCCCAAGGACCCCGAGTATGGAGGAAGAATGGAGAGGCCCAAGGACCCCGAGTATGGAGGAAGAATGGAGAGGCACACACTGCAAGATGCTTGAAGTCCAGTGTGAAGTTTCCACAGTCTGTGTTGATTTGGGGAGCCATGTCATCTGCTGGTGTTGGTCCTCTGTGCTTCATTAAGTCCAGGGTCACCGCAGCCGTCTACCAGGAGATTTTGGAGCACTTCATGCTTCCTTCCGCAGATGAGCTTTATGGGGATGCTGACTTCATTTTCCAGCAGGACTTGGCACCTCCCACACTGCCAAAAGCACCAAAACCTGGTTCAATGACCGTGGGATTACTGTGCTTGATTGGCCAGCAAACTCGCCTGACCTGAGCCCCATAGAGAATCTATGGGGCATTGCCAAGAGAAAGATGAGAGACATGAGACGGAACAATGCAGAAGAGCTGAAGGCCGCTATTGAAGCATCCTGGTCTTCCATAACACCTCAGCAGTGCCACAGGCTGATAGCTTCCATGCCACGCCGCATTGAGGCAGTAATTGCTGCAAAAGGGGCCCCAACCAAGTACTGAGTACATATGCAGCTTCTACTTGTCAGAGGTGCGATATTGTTCTATGTACAATCCGTGTTTTATTGATTGCATGAAATATTCTCATTTTCTGAGATTGTGGATTTGGGGTTTTCATTTTTCATCACAATGATGACAAATCACGGCTGGAACTATCTTGCTTTGCATGTAATGAGTCTCATATATTAGTTTCACCTTTTAAGTTGCTGCACTGAAATAATTCAACTTTTGCACCATATTCTCATTTTTCGAGTTTCACCTGTATTTCAGGGTTTCTCATATCTTTCAGGCACTCTATTTGGAGATCTGCACATTTGACCTCTCAGATCATTACATCCCCTGGGGGGGGGTCCCCACACTACCAGCTCTATTTATAATTATATATTATGGTGTATGAGGAAAGTGAATTGGAAACACCCCAAGGTAGGCGGTAACACCCTGCACCCCAACGTGAGCAGGAACCCGTGGAGGAATTATGGCAGGGTCACCCCATCTCTGGAGACCTCATGAGATGTATGAAACCAGAAAACTGACATACTCTAATGCACTCCACCTAAAAATGTAAAATCATTTTAGGTGGACTAACCCTTAATCCAAGAGAAATGATATGATTCAATTCTTGGATTTTAGTGTTTGTGTGTCTTCAGGAATGTTAACGAAGAATTGATTAGGTCGGCTGTAGTTAAGGTGTTCAACATCAAGTCCTTGTCAGTCTGCATCATTCTTTCTATTCATTTTTTAGGAGCCTTTCCTGTTGTAGTCAATGAAAGCCCTCGTTCCCCAGCTCTTTAGAAGTACCTTCTAGCTTCCACACCATTCCAAATGGATCCAAAAAACTCTATACATCCTCCTAAAGCCTGAAGACCAATGTTGGCCAAGAACACTGGGAATGACCAGTGACTGCTAACCCATGGCGGTGCCTGTTATTTACCTGACATGCATCCTTCTGCCCATCCTTGTATCCTGCACAGATCATGTCCCATTGGATGATGGTGGAATTGGGATTCAGTGTGGGGTTATTTATGTGGTACATGGAGTCACAATCCGCTTGTTCTATAATTGGAATTTCGACCTGCTGAAGGGTTCGGGGAGACGACAGGCTCACTGCAATAGACAAAGCATTGTTATAGGTTGTCAGATATCTGCTCTTCTATGTTCTTCTTTACATCTAGGAACCATCAAACCAAATGTACAACAATTGAAGCAAAGTCCACATGTGATAATCAGGCTACTTTGTACGTTTGAGGTTAAATGATAGTCAATATAATGAAACAAACCGAAAACCGTTCAGTGTTTCACATTACACAGGGCTATCTGTGAGGACTTGTGACTAGAAACACATCGAGGTTTTGTTGTTTCTAGTGAGATGGCAAATTCAGCCAGCACAAGAAGGGAGTTGGTCTCTGTTCCTTTGCTACTGGTAGAGGTTCACATGCCTGTACAAGAAGGTTATGGCTTTTATGGACTATTGTGTGTAGGCTTGGGTTCCTTTGCTGTACTAGTCAAGGAGATGGCAAATCTCAGCCAGCACCAAGAAGGGAGTGGGGGTCTCTGTCAAGGAGATGGCAAATCTCAGCCAGCACCCTCTTGCTTTGCTGTACTGGTCAAGGAGATGGCAAACCTCAGCCAGCACCAAGAAGAAGGAGTGGGTCTCTAAAGGTTCCTTTGCTGTACTGGTCAAGGAGATGGCAAATCTCAGCCAGCAGCCCAAGAAGGGAGTGGGTCCCTATAGGTTCCTTTGCTGTACTGGTAAAGGAGATGGCAAATCTCAGCCAGCACCAAGAAGAGAGTGGGTCTATATAGGTTCCTTTGCTGTACTGGTCAAGGAGATGGCAAATCTCAGCCAGCACCAAGAAGAGAGTGGGTCTCTATAGGTTCCTTTGCTGCTGTACTGGTCAAGGAGATGGCAAATCTCAGCCAGCACCAAGAAGGGAGTGGGTCCCTATAGGTTCCTTTGCTGTACTGGTCAGCCAGCACCAAAAGAGTTGGCAGATCTCCTCCAGCACCAAGAGAGGGGCCAGTACCCTTGAGTTCCTTTGCTTTTCTGGTCAAAGAAATGGCAGATTTCAGCCAGCACCAAGAAGGGAGTGGGTCCCTATGGTTTCCTCATATGTTTTGGTTAGGGAGGTGGCAGATCTCAGCCAGTACCGAGAGGGAAGCCAGTCCTTGTGGATTCCTTTGCTGTACTAGTCAAGGAGATGGCAGATCTCAGTCAGCACCAAGAGGGGATCTGATCCCTTAGGGTTTCTTTACTGTACTGGTCAAAAATATGGCAGATCTCAGCTAGCACCAAGAAGGGAGTGTGTCCCAATGGGTTCCTTTGCTGTACTAGTCAAGGAGGTGGCAGATCTCAGCCAGCACAGAGAGGGGAGCTGGTACCTGTGGGTCTCTTTACTGTTCTGATCAAGGAAATGACAAATCTCAGCCAGCACCAAGAAGGGAGTGGGTCCCTATGGTTTCCTTATATGTTTTGGTTAGGGAGGTGGCAGATCTCAGCCAGGACCGAGAGGGGAGACAGTTCTTGTGGGGACAGCTGAAAGTCTGAACCTGACAGAGAAGACAGTTGATGGCACCATCATCTCCTACCAACCAACAATGATTCTGGCTCCCACAGACTGGCGATGTGCTCATGTGGTACACAGATCAGTCCTGTCAATGTAAGAAGGTACTCCTAATGACAACTCGTTATGTGTATAAAAGATACCTGTCCACAGAATCTCTTTCTTGGGCACCACCATGGGCCAAAGACCTGTCAAAGGACATCAGGGACAATATTGTAGACCTGCACAAGGCTGGAATGGGCTACACAACCATCAGCAAGAAGCTTGGTGAGAAGGAGACAACTGTTGGTGCGATTATTCGCTAATGGAAGAAATACAAAATAATCATCAATCGCCCTCCTTGGGCTGGAGCTTCATGCAAGATTTCACCTCATGGGTAAGGATGATCATGAGAAAAGTGAGGGATCAGCCCGTAACTATATGGGAGGAGCCTTGTGAATGATCCCAAGGCAGATGGGACAACAGTCACCAAACAAACCATTGGTAACATATTACGCTGTCATGGATTGTAATCCTTAATTACCCGCAAGGTCCCCCCCCTCAAGTAGGCACATGTACAGGCCCATTTGAAGTTTGCCAATGAACATCTAAATGATTCAGAAAAAGATTGGGAGAAAGTGCTGTGGTCAGAGGAGACCAAAATTGAGCTATTTGGAAATAACTTGACTCGCCATGTTTGGAGGAAGAAAAATGCTAACTATAACCCAAGAACACCATCCCTACAATCAACCACAGAGGTGGAAACATTATGCTTTGGGGCTGTTTCTCTGCTAATGGTACAGGCTGACTTTTGCCGCATTGAAGGGCCAATAGACGGGGCCATGTATTGTAAAATCATGGATGAAAACCTTCTTCCTTCGGCCAGAACACTGATGATGGGTCTTCCAGTATGATAATGACCCAAAACATACCACCAAGGCAACAAAGGAACGGCTAAAGAAGAAGCACATTAAGGTCATGGAGTGGCCTAGCCAGTCTCCACACCTTCATCCTATAGAAAATGTATGGAGGGAGCTGAAACTGCAAGTTGCCAAGTGACAGCCAAGAAACCTTAAGGATTTAGAGAAAATCTGTAAAGAAGAGTGGACCAAAATCCCTCTTGAGATGTGTGCCAACCTGGGAACCAACTACAGGAAATGTCTCACCTCTGTGCTCGCCAACAAGGGTTCCTCCTCCAACTACTAAGTCATGTTTTGCTTGGGGATCAAATACTTATTTTACTCCCTGAACTGCAAGTCCATTTATAACATTTGTATCGTGTTTTTTCTGGATTTTTGGTTGATATTTTGTCTCTGTAGTTTTAAAATACACCTATGATAAAAATTATAGACCCTTCATCTCTTTGTAAGTGGGATAACTTACAAAATCTGCAGGGGATCAAATCTTTATTTTCCCCACTGTAAATGTGAATCCCTTTCCCCAGGAACTACGTCCGGTTGTAGACCAAAGAGCCCTCACCTCCTTGTCTAATGGAGCCCCAGCCAGTGACGAAGCAGTACATGCCGCTGGGGAAATGCACGGTCTCTTCAGGGATGCAGATTGGCATGATGTAGTCTGTGTACTGTATGGAGTACTGCAGTTTGAGAAGGGCGATGTCTCCGCTGGTACCGGCCCCATGGTAGATGGGATGGATGTAGACAGCAACGATTGGAGACATGACCCGCTGGGTACAGACAGCTGATACGCTCCCAGATTCACCATGTAATTAGATATAGAGTAGGGCCTGGTGGGAAGAGAAGAACACCAACGTTCACCAACAATTAGGGGCATGTAAAGAGAACATTTCTCATACTCATCTATTCCATAGAAAGAGTACAACTAAAATGTGAGTGCATAGCCTGACAATAGCCTTACTGTGCCTAGTCATGGCCTGACCATAGCCCAGTGGTAGCCTGGTCATAGTTTGACCATAGCCTGGTGGTAGCCTGGTCATAGACTGACAATAGCCTTACTGTGCCTAGTCATGGCCTGACCATAGCCCAGTGGTAGCCTGGTCATAGTTTGACCATAGCCTGGTGGTAGCCTGGTCATAGACTGACAATAGCCTTACTGTGCCTAGTCATGGCCTGACCATAGCCCAGTGGTAGCCTGGTCATAGTTTGACCATAGCCTTACTGTGCCTGGTCATAGCCTGACAATAGCCTTACTGTGCCTGGTCATAGCCTGACAATAGCCTTACTGTGCCTGGTCATAGCCTGACAATAGCCTTACTGTGCCTGGTCATAGCCTGATCATAGATTTACCGTGCCTGATCATAGATTTACCGTGCCTGGTCATAGCCTGATCATAGATTTACCGTGCCTAGTCATAGATTTACCGTGCCTGGTCATAGCCTGACCATAGATTTATCGTGCTAGTCATAGCCTGACCATAGATTTACCAGTGCCTGGTCATAGCCTGACCATAGATTTATCGTGCTGGTCAAAGCCTGGCTTAGCCTGACCATAGATTTACTGTGCCTAATCGTAACCTGACCATAGATTTACCAAGCCTGGTCATAGCCTGGCCATAGCCTGGCCATAGATTTACCATGCCTAGTCATAGCCTAACCATAGATTTACCATGGCTGGTCATATCCTGACCATAGTTTTACCATGCCTAGTCATAGCCTGGTCATAGTTTGACCATAGCCTGGTGGTAGCCTGGTCATAGCCTGACAATAGCCTTACTGTGCCTGGTCATAGCCTGATCATAGATTTACCATGCCTGGTCATAGCCTGACCATAGTTTTACCTTGCCTAGTCATAGCCTGGCCATAGCCTGACCATAGATTTACCGTGCCTGGCCATAGCCTGACCATAGATTTACTGTGCCTAGTCATAGCCTGACCATAGATTTACTGTGCCTAGTCATAGCCTGACCATAAATTTACCATGCCTGGTCATATCCTGGCCATAGTTTTACCATGCCTAGTCATAGCCTAACCATAGATTTACCATGCCTGGTCATAGCCTTGTCATATAGATTTGACCATGATTTACCAAGCCTGGTCATAGCCTAACCATTGATTTACCATGGCTGGTCATATCCTGACCATAGTTTTACCATGCCTGGTCATAGCCTGACCATAGCCTGGAAGTAGCCTGGTCGTAGGCTGGTCATAGTCTGGCCGTAAGCTGACCACAGCCTGAATAGTCTGAATTTAGTGCAGCAGCTAGACTGTAGCCAGCCTAGGATTGGTTGGTGTACATGATCTGGTCTGCTGAGCCCCAGGACATTGTTTCCTTCTGGCTGCTACAGTGTAGTCTTCTCTAGTAGATAATGCAAGAGGATACAATGTATTGGGTTATATATATCTACCCCCCCCATCACCTTATATACAGATTACTGATCCATCACTGAGAGCGGATATAGTGAATGCGGGGTCCGGGGAGAGGGGATATAATGAATGCGGGGTCTGGGGAGAGGGGATATAGTGAATGCGGGGTCCGGGGAGAGCGGATATAGTGAATGCGGGGTCCGGGGAGAGGGATATAGTGAATGCGGGGTCCGGGGAGAGCGGATATAGTGAATGCGGGGGTCCGGGGAGAGGGGATATAGTGAATGCGGGGTCCGGGGAGAGCGGATATAGTGAATGCGGGGTCCGGGGAGAGCGGATATAGTGAATGCGGGGTCCGGGGAGAGGGGATATAGTGAATGCGGGGTCCGGGGAGAGGGATATAGTGAATGCGGGGTCCGGGGAGAGGGGATATAGTGAATGCGGGGTCCGGGAGAGCGGATATAGTGAATGCGGGGTCCGGGGAGAGCGGATATAGTGAATGCGGGGTCCGGGGAGAGCGGATATAGTGAATGCGGGGTCCGTGGGAGAGCGGATATAGTGAATGGGGGTCCGGGGGAGAGCGGATATAGTGAATGGGGGGTCCGGGGAGAGGGGATATAGTGAATGCGGGGTCCGGGGAGAGCGGATATAGTGAATGCGGGGTCCGGGGGAGAGCGGATATAGTGAATGCGGGGTCCGGGGAGAGCGGATATAGGAATGCGGGGTCCGGGAGAGCGGATATAGGGAATGCGGGGTCCGGGGAGAGCGGATATAGTGAATGCGGGGTCCGGGGAGAGCGGATATAGTGAATGCGGGGTCCGGGGAGAGCGGATATAGTGAATGCGGGGTCCGGGGAGAGCGGATACAGTGAATGCGGGGTCCGGGGAGAGCGGATATAGTGAATGCGGGGTCCGGGGAGAGCGGATATAGTGAATGCGGGGTCCGGGGAGAGGGGATATAGTGAATGCGGGGTCCGGGGAGAGCGGATATAGTGAATGCGGGGTCCGGGGAGAGCGGATATAGTGAATGCGGGGTCCGGGGAGAGCTGATATAGTGAATGCGGGGTCCGGGGAGAGCTGATATAGTGAATGCGGGGTCCGGGGAGAGCTGATATAGTGAATGCGGGGTCCGGGGAGAGCGGATATAGTGAATGCGGGGTCCGGGGAGAGCGGATATAGTGAATGCGGGGTCCGGGGAGAGCGGATATAGTGAATGCGGGGTCCGGGGAGAGCGGATATAGTGAATGCGGGGTCCGGGGAGAGCGGATATAGTGAATGCGGGGGTCCGGGGAGAGCGGATATAGTGAACGCGGGGGCCGGGGAGAGCGGATATAGTGAATGCGGGGTCCGGGGGAGAGCGGATATAGTGAATGCGGGGTCCGGGGAGAGCGGATATAGTGAATGCGGGGTCCGGGGAGAGCGGATATAGTGAATGCGGGGTCCGGGGAGAGGGGATATAGTGAATGCGGGGTCCGGGGAGAGCGGATATAGTGAATGCGGGGTCCGGGGAGAGGGATATAGTGAATGCGGGGTCCGGGGAGAGTGGATATAGTGAATGGGGGTCCGGGGAGAGCGGATATAGTGAATGGTAAGGGGGGCCGGGGAGAGCGGATATAGTGAATGCGGGGGCCGGGGAGAGCGGATATAGTGATTGCGGGGTCCGGGGAGAGCGGATATAGTGATTGCGGGGTCCAGGGAGATATAGTGATGGATATCGACTCCCCTCTTCGCTGTTCTTTAACCGGCCCTTGGGGCACTATTCCCCTGAATGCTACAAGCCACTATTCCTTCCACTGCTACCAATGATGGGGCAACACTCTTTCTTTTATTGACCACCAACCCTGAGGTTATGTTTCTTCTCACTGATGCTGGACCCGGGACAGTTTTCTACCCCCGCTGACCACAGTCCTGCCCCCTAAAGTCTGAGGTACAGTAAACTGGCCCTTTGGATGACAAGTTTGGAGACCCCTGATAAATACCACATACAAGTAGCAAAACACTGAGCAACGGGGCTAATACAAACCTTTGCAAACCAATGCTCCTAACTGCACAGCATGCGCTACTTACCCCACAAGTCACCTACCGTACAAAGCAGTGAGCAGCGGTCAGCACCCACTTGGAGTCAATCATGACCCCTCCGCAGATATGGGAGCCATTCTTCCTCAGGCTGATCTGCCATGGCCACTCCCCCGGGGAGGCGTCCTGTCCACCCACAATGCGGTCTGATGTCACTGGCTTCCCACAACCTATCAGAACCAGAAAGCGTCATCACCCACCTGCAGGGTATGGATGGTCGAACAGCTTACAATGGTGGTGTCAGTTATGGAAGGTTGGGGACTCACCTGAGAAGGACAATGCAAGCTGGAGACCTGAAAGATGAAGAAACAGATTATTAGGTCATCCATAGAAGATACTGAGGGCTATGCAGCTACTATTAGAGGGTCTGCTCTCACTGTGGGGTACTTATCATATCTTCTGCCATCCTGAGAGGGTCTGCTCGTCCCCAGAGACACCCACAACATCTTAGTTACCCCAAGAGAACCTGGACATTCCCGTGATCACGCATGAGGTCTATCACCCCATTACTCAGAGAGAGCCTAGTGCTTTCACAAATCACCCATCAAATGTTTGTAGTACCCTCCAGGGTAGGTTGTCAGGATGATCGGTACATTTCCTTCTTTTTGGCTCCTCTGTAATCCTTGGAAGCAGCTATTGATTTCTTTGTTCTACAGCCCTGGCCAAAACTTTTGAGAATGACCCAAATATTAATTTTCACAAAGTCTGCTGCCTCGGTTTTTATGGCAGTTTGCATACTGTATACTCCAGAATGTTATGAAGAGCGATCAGAGGAATTGTAATTCATTGCAAAGTCCCCCTTTGCCATGAAAAGGAACCTAATCCCCCCAGAAAATGTCAGTGATTCTCTTGTTAACATAGGTGTCAGTGTTGACGAGGACATAGCTGGAGATCACTCTGTCATGCTGATTGAGTTAGAAGAACAGACTGGAAGCTTTAAAAGGAGGCTGGTGCTTGAAATCATTGTTCTTCCTCTGTTAACCATGGTTACCTGCATGGAAACACATGCAGTCATCATTGCTTTGCACAAAAAGGGATTCACAGGCAAGTATATTGCTAGCACTAAGATTGCACCTAAATCAACCATTTATCAGATCATCAAGAACTTCAAGGAGAGGGGTTCAATTGTTCTGAAGAAGGCTTCAGGGTTCCCAAGTAAGTCCAGCAAGTGCCAGGACCATCTCTTAAAGTTGATTCAGCTGCGGGATCGGGGCACCACCAGTGCAGAGTTTGCTCGGGAATGGCAGCAGGCAGGTGTGAGGATGGCCTGGTGTCAGGAAGGGCAGCAAAGAAGCCGCTTCTCTCCAGGAAAAGCCTCAGGGA